TCCTTAACATCCTAATGTGCATTTTGGTGTGATGTTATTTAATTTTACTATTAACTATGTTATAGAAAATATTTAAGGTTTGGAAACGATCATGTATGTACATTCTTATAACAGCTTAATCATAAAAAAGGCAAATTTTTTTATTGACAAGGTAATATCTAAGGCACCTGCTGGTGGCATCATTCTACTCCCAATTACGTGTGCTTTACTTTCTCCCTTCCATCACCTTTCTTGTAGGTATATCTCTCCAGACCTTTCAAAAGTGCCCCGAAACACTGCTTGACCCACTGTTGCATTTAGTTTTTAGAAGATACTACTGCACCCTACTGACGAAAACTACCTTTTGTAACATGAGTGGTATGGGTCATTTTTTTAAAAAGGAATTTTTACTTTCCGATTTAACTCAGGAACACACTGGGTTAAGTGTGTTCTGTCTTATCTTAAGCACTATTTTCAGAGGTTAAATTCTAAATTCCCACGTTCTTCAAACGTAAATAATTTCTCCGGACCAATGAGAAAACTGTTGATAGTCAAATGCCTAAAATTTCATTACTGATCATGAAGAAAGGTACTTTATAGCTACTGTAAAAATCCTTGCTCATTGGAGGAAAGAAATATATAATTCTAAATAATGCTATGTATAAAATATACATTTATTAGATGAAATTCAAGAATAGAACTTTAGTTTATTCTCATCACTGGCCTAGTTTGCTATGTACAGAAGACTGCTGGGATGTTTGAACATACTGTGAATATTTCATCCACAGAATATAGAGAGCTTTCATTAGAACAAGCAAGAAAAAAACCTATAGTCTGGAGAATAAAAGCTAAGAGTTCCAAGTTTTAGTGGCCATGTTTCCCATAGGGCTATTGTATAAGAAGAGTAATACTATATTTTTTCCTATTCACAGATGGAAAAGAGCAAAATTTTGCTTTATTTAAGCCCAATAGCAATAATCTTGCATGGGTTTCAGAAAAATGATACACATTTTACTGTGGGATAATGAGGACCATTAGTTATTAGAGAGAACAAATCATTCTCTTTCAATTCAACAGACTTATTCATTCACTCATTTAATAGACTATCCTGTCTCCTTTTTACTAAAATGGCCTTCTCATATGGAACACCTGGCCATGCAACATGCCACCAGACAGACTTCAGGAGGTATCTTGATGGGGAGAAATAGAGAATTTCCAAAGTGAAGCCACAGGATAAAATCAACACTCGATGCTTGCCTTTCATTTCAAGGAAAGTAGTATAAAAGCAATAAAAAAAGAAAAAGGTAGTTGAAAAATACAGTTTCTCTCTACAAAAGAGTCTTAAAATTAAAAAACCATGAACTTAATAATTTTCCTAAATGAAATTATGCCATTATTCCTGATTTCTTTGTACTAAGTAAAAGGACAAAGTATCAAACTTCACTAGAGTTTCAACACCGTAATACATTTCATTAATCAAAGATAAAAACTACATTAAAAGCAAGAGAATTGTTTTATGTCTGCGATTAGGCAGTTGGAGGGCTTGTATTTTATGTATACATTTGTACACGTCAACTTATTTAACAGTGTCAGTTCACTAAATGTAGTTTTTTTGTATAAAGCAAACAGATTTAGAATTTTAAAAACAAATTACAGTAATTTTATGCCTACAGCTTGCACCTCTTAGAAACCATGTATCCCCTAACCACTCCCCTTCCTTTGCCACCACTTCCCCATCTCCTCCCTTCTCCTCTCTAGAACCACAAGCTAGAGGAAAACCAGTAACAGGGACCTCGAAGCCCCTAGCCAATAGCCACCCTAATTTTTCATGTGGGGTGGAAGAATAAAGGGTATGGATAAAAAAAAAAATCAGCTCCTGAATAGGGCAAGGAGCAGATGCCTGCAGAGATCTGCCTGGAGAGCTTCAATGTTTTCTACAGATCTTCAAGGTGACAGGCACTTCCGAGCCTGTACTTTATTAACGCTGAACCTCCTATGTGGAAAGGGGCAGAGATAAAGGACCAAAAGATTTGTTCCTAATGTAGATGGATATGTATGTACTGCTGGTGCTGGCAGTGGGTAGGGCAGGAGAAGGGGACAAGTGGGGGAGGTGGCGGACTACGCAATGACGACAACTTCACACATCCTCAGTATAAAAACTAATGTCAAGTGGCAGAAGAGAAAAATAAGAAAAAGCAGCTTAAAAATGGGGAGCAGCAGCAGCTCCTCCAAGGCCGAGCACATGTGCACTTTTATCAGCTTGAACTGGCTACATGGCACCAAGAAGGGGCTGCCCAGAATAGTGTCTGTACAGCCATGGCTGTGCCCAGAGAGTTTCCAAGTTATGGGGTAAAAGACAGGTGTACATGGTGGGACCATGTGCAAGTCTGGAGGGTTCTCTCTGTAGACTGAGATCAGTCAGTAATGAGAACATGAAACTTCTAAAGAGGGGACCCATTTGTCTACTAATGGCTTTGAAAATAATTTATGAAAACTGAAGCTCTGACTTGGGAGGGCTGGGGGGCAAGGGCAACATACATAACCTAAACATCTGTACACCCATAATATGCTGAAATAAAAAAAACTGAATTTATAAGACAGCCTATGACCATAAGGCAGCTGCAATTATGATAAAATATCTTTAAGCAAGTCAAAATCTTCCCACTGTTCAATTTATAAACAAAAATTGTCTTAACTATGAGCGCTGAAACCAACAAAATCAGTCTAATCCCCTGTCAATACGACTGGTCTTGACCTATCTGGGAGGGCATCAAGCCTATCTACCCAGGCAGGCTCCATCACCCTTTATTGTCCAGCTCTTTTGCTGAAATACAAGGCTCCGCACTTCTTTCTTTTAAATGTCAATATGAGACAGAGCTTGTTCCATCTACCGCCTCTCAGTGTTGGGCCACTGGAAAATTCAAAATCAAAGAAGGAAAGGGCAACAGTTTGCCTTTAAACCAGGTTCTTGACAACACAAATGGAGAAATGGGACATCTGCTCTTAAAAAAATGGTTTTGTTCAGAGGTTTTCAGTGGGGGTCATGGGGCGCACAGTGGAGAGGGGAGTAAAGAGAACAAGAAGATGAAGCTCCCTGTGCTTACACATCCATACCATCCCACTCCTGGTTGAAAACATTTTTCAAAGCCTCTCAGAGATAAGAAGAGGCAATAAAGTTTAGCACAGTGGTTAGAGGAGCACAATCTTTGGAATCACAGAGCTGCGTTAAAATCTAATCACAGCTGGACACTTACCAGCTATGTGACAAGATCAAGTTAGCTACCCTCTCTAAGCCTTGGCTTCTTTCTCTGTAAAATGGAGCTAATACAACATACCCTTGTGAGGTTGTTGCAAGAACCAAATGAGATAACATATGAAAAGTACTTATCACAGTATCCAACAGAGTAAGCACTCAATGTGTAGGAGAGAAAAAAATGAAGCTAAAAAATATCTTGCATTTATAGTCCCCTCCTCCCAGCTGAGGATTCATAAACATCATCGAACACAACTCAACTTGGAGAATACGTTATATGATTATTTTCGTAGCAGAATTTTATCTTCCTAATTATGTTTTGCTTAGGTGAATGTCAAAAATGAGTTCCCACTTCCAGAGTAGACACTGATGGGGTAGCGGTGATGGGGGGTGGCAGGGAGGAACACAAAAACATACTCGACGGGGCAGGATGGAAAATATGTGACTTGATAATTGATCTGTGGAAAATCCAATCTCATTCCACAAATTCATATTGAGCACTAACTATGTACAATTCCTATGGACTAGAGGAGTATGGACATATTTCTACTGAAGCCTAAAAGGAGGGTGGGAGGTGGCTACTAACACCATTCACTGAGACTCCCTCTGCCTCAGGCCCTGCGCCGAGCATCTCACACACATGATCTTATTTCTCCCTCAGAACAACTCTATTCTATGACTCAAGGAACCAAGGTGCAGACCAAAGTTCAGAGGGTTGTGAACAAAAGAACCAGAATTCAAACCCACACCCCTATGATGTCAAAGCCCATGGCTAAAGCCAGACATTTTAATGAAAGGAGGGGAAATTTTTCCATGAGGCAGAAACAGAATGAGCAATGTCATATTTAGGAGACATTGAGTGGATCAAATAAGAAATAAGGTTAGAAATACAGGTTAGAGCTAGAAAGTTAATCTGTAATTGCCAAAGTCAGAGTCTGTGAGATGCCAGTGGCATCTGGACTTGACTTATAGACAATGAGGAGCCATCTCAGGACTTTATTAGGCAGTAATCTAAAAGCATTCATCTTTGCTTACCATAGAATAGAGAGCAGAGACCTTAAAAGCAATGTAACTCTTTTATGTACTGATTATATATTCCTAAGCAAAAGATAACAATGATAACGATGACATAGCAATGGGGACAAATCTGGTGATGCAGCAAAAGTCAAAGCAATATTGAGGTCTCAGAATTACCTGGCACGTTCTGGAATGATGAGAACATAGAACTACGTCAATTCCTAGAGGATAACAGCAAGTCCAGTTTTAGAAAAATTTAAGTTAAAGAGTAGGATACTCACAGGCAATCGAATATTAAAAATTAAAATTTTTATGTTGAAAAGCTGTTTTTTCATTTTACATGAAAATACCTCTAGAGACAGAGACAACATGAAGCAATACGCAAGGTACCATCAATTTCCTTATTAATGGAAGTTCACCAATTAAAGTTTTAACAATGTAAGTTCAGTGACTATAATGGTGCCTAAAATCTTCCCCTCACCCTTTCTTTTGCCTTCCCTCTCTTCCCTCAGCATTCAGCGAGTGCCAACTGTAGAGCAGGCATGTTTACAGAGGTAGCAAGTATGTGGAGATCATAGTCTACGAGGGAAGATGGATAGTAACTAAACAAATACAAAAATAAATGCCTACCTATAAACAAAGAAGTGCCAGATACAATACTGTGCCCATAAACAGGGATCCCAAGAGTCAAGGGAGGACAGAGCATACCGCTGTTACCATGTGAGGGTCTATGTGAGTTTGGGACACTTACCTAACCACGTTGCAATAAGGACAGAATCAATTCCTTCTATCGGCTCACAGATCCGAGCCACGACTGGGTGGATCTGCTGGGCCAGGTAGTACTGGGTGTCAATGATTAAACTGTCCTGTTTCTGCAGCTGCTCAGGTGCATAGGCCCTCTGACTTGCAGTGAGGTTTGACCCATCCTAAAAGAAGACATGGTAAAAAGACACATATAAAAAGAAGACAGGGGTAAAGTTGTGAGCAGCTCAATGACATACACTTGCTTGGTCAAACAGGGGGACAACAGTTTAAATTTCATGTAGTCACTTCCAAACACCAAGATGTCTTTTTGACCTATTGTTGAACATTTTGAGTAGGAAGACTGAGGAGAAAGTTTTCATCTTGAAATCTCAAGAACTTCTTGATCTCAATCTCGTCCACAGTCCAAGAATGTAAACCCAGGATATGTTGTGTTCTATTTTTTTTTTGTCAAAAAATGAAACCAACAAGATACCACTGACTAGATTAAATAATTTCACCGTCTTATCACAAAAACACAATGAGAAGACACGGTAACAATGTAGCCAGCAAGGTTTTTTAAGGAGTGATATTTAAAACACTATGTATGGTCTTTTTATTATGTTAATGTGATCACCTCAGGCAAGAATTCTAGTCTCAGTATCATCTTAAAGTCTCTGGGGGTAATATTTTCTATGACAGCTATATGTATCATATCATTGAGAAGCAAATGAACAAGGAAAAAAGATGGGAGAATGAAACCCATAAAGCAATCATTTATATGCAAAATATAATAGGTAGGAGTAAAAATAATGCAGTGTCCTGGTAGAGTGGCAGGGCTCTAAAGCCAACTATCTGGCCACTGGAATGAAGGGCATGTCATTTTGTGCCATTTATCTGGCTCCTCCTCAAAGAAAGGAAGGGAGGTCAGAGAGCCTCTTTTCAAGGGCTTCCTCTTTTACTCTATAAAAATAAAAGTTGTGAAATTCTACATAATTGCCCACATACAGCCCTGTGGGTGATGTCACCATCATCTGTGAATCAAAAAGTCATCACTCTACTGGATCAACATCCAGCAACTCACTCCACTCTTTCTCCCGTCTGAAACAACAGAATTTAATATTCAGACTAGTAAATTATAACTATTCACAGTGCTCAGCTGCTTGGCAGAACTGATTATAATGTGAATCCTATTCTTTCATTCCTGCTACAATCAGTCCCTTCTCAGCTCAGCACCCAGCCCAAAGCAGAGGCAACCTTCCACACCGCTGTCTTTACCAGAGACCAGAGGCAGAGGCCTGTTTCTCTGGCTAGGCTCCTGACGGAAACAAATCGGGACTGTTTATCAACCAAGTTTTACTGGTTCTAAAATATAATGAAATATCTAAAAAGGAGGCAAATCTCAGATTAAAAGACTTGCATACTATTATTTTTTCAGGAGTTCACAGCACAATAAAAAAAATTAAGCAGAATTAATCAAGTTTAGTTGTTGCCCTTCCAGAAGCTTTTTTAGGTGAGAATAAGGTGATAGTCGGTAACAAAAACTGTGTGAAAGAAATCCTTGAGCAATATCTTCATGCACCACAACTGTACTCAGACTGCCTTTTAACAACCACATAAAATCTGAGCAACTGATAGAATTTTGAAAAATTGGTCTTTCCTTAAGATTATAGCAATGCTGACTTTAATAATTTTTAATGGTGAATTAAAATCAAATTTGTAGAGGCAAACCATTTTTTAAAAGGAATTTGAGTTACTTTCCAATATAACATTAGAAGTTCTCATAGTAAGGCATGTTTTTCAAAAAAGCAGTTGAAAATTTCTGAGCATATTTTCAGTTTAAAATGCTTTTATTTTAAATATCCACACAAAAGACTAATTTTAACAGTGACCCAAACATATTTCTTACTGTATTTTAAAAATCCAAGCTTGAACACAGCTAAATTCAAAAGAATTGGTTACATAACAGGTTTTGCTATGTGTGTTGGAAAAATATTTAGGCTATGACCTAAGATATATCCTTCCAAGACCTAATTCTCAAACCTGAGCAAGACCCCGTGGTATATGCAAGAACATGTGGCATACACTTTTAAGAACAGATTAGGAAGCAACGTTGGTCTTCTTCAAGTGCTCAAGTAGTAATTCATGAACTTCACAAAGTACATACTTCAGAGAGACAACCAGGTGTAGTCAATTCATTCAAAACTATGTCATCATCATTAGTAGGAAACTAATGGGAAAAAAATTTTAAACTGGTGACAAATGGACTCCTTAAAACAATTATGTTAACGGCAAGCTTTATGGAAATTATGTTTAATGAAAGTTAAATAATTAAAGATTTAAAACTTAGCTGATAAATGGAAGTTGACTGAAAAACTGAGGAAATAATTCAGGTAGGTTTAACAAGAGTACAAACTACAATATAAATTAGGTACCAAAAACATTACTCTCTGAACTCATCTGAATTTGTAGTCTCAGTAAGTTATCAGTAAGGTACTATATTCTCAATGTACATTTTAAACAAAACAAAATCTTTTTAGGAGATAGGCTATTTTTGGAGAACACCTTTGCTTAGGCAGCAAACAGTCCTGTTAAAAATGTGTCATCATACATTTTCAAAAGCATATTCTAAAAATACATTTGTGTTATGAAACACAGAAAGAATAATTTGAGTGCTTAAAAGCAAAAATGGTAGGCAGCTCTGGCTAGCAAACATGCTAAAAGGGGGCATGTTCCACTGCTAGGGACAAAGATAAAGTCCTACAGCCTTTCCTGGGATATGTTAAGGAGAATACATTAATAAAAAGAAATACGAACTATACTTTTTAAAAAGCAAATAAGGCCAAGTACCAGTGGATGGGAATAATGCTAAAAGTACATCAAATTCAGTATACTGTACTACATTAGCATCAGCATTTTAGGATTTATATATGAAGAAGAACTGAGAAAAAGAAATCTTAAGAACTAATATTTAGACATCAAGGAACATAAGGTTAGTTTTTAAATACATCAATCATCCTATTTTGTAAGTTATCACATCTCCATTCCAGGTTTAGTGAAAACATAACTGTGGCTTGATTTCATTAGATGCTATTTCATTGAACCTATATAACTTTTCAAAGTTGTATGCTTACATCTCCTCGTCATTAATAACCTAAGAGCTTTTCCAATGTATGTGAAGATGTAAGCGAAAAAAAACTAGCCTATTTACCAAAATCTTTATTTGCATAATATGAAAATTGTTTTTTTGAGATGAGACTTGTCAGAGGCAATATGCAAAGCACATTAAGGGCTTGAGCGAGTCAGACATTTATGGAAATATTTTCCTGCAGGAATTGGCTTTCTGTAACAGTTCTTAATCAAGGGTAACCCTAGGAGGGAGACAGAGTCAAGTGCTGATTCCTGTCCATGTACTTAAATCATTTGTTATGTATATCGTCTACAGTATATAGCAGATATTAGCAGACTACTTTTAAATTTTTAAAAGACTCTCTGACTTAAAACGCCAATGATTGTAGTTTGACAAAGATCAATCATACTGCAATAAATTTTAAGATTTGTCTAAATTTCTTTTACCGTAATAACATAACGCAATCAAAATTAGGATAAAACTCAGTAATTTTTTTAAAAAGTTTTATTCAGATAAATTAGGTCTTGTGGTAAATAGTCCACAACTCAGTAATTTTAAAGAATCTGGACAGAGGCTACAACCCTGACTTCTTTTTGTAAGGAGAAGGAATGAGAGCTCTCCTTTGTTCCAATTGGAGTTAAGTGCTTTCAAAGAAAAAAAAAACTGCTCTTCTGTCTTACCCTCTCTACCCATCCCTACTTGTTAGAGCCATGCTATTCTCAAAAGAAAATGGTTAATAGTTTAAAACTATATTCCAGAAGTTCCTTAGAGGTGCCTTGTGAAACAGGGAGAAGGCAAGGAGGTGGGCCCTCTCCACTCAAGGAAAAAAAGAAAAGAAAAGAAAAGAAAATGGTTGCACTGTATGTTTTCTTCATAAGGTATATTTTTAGGATCTTTCAACTTTCTCCATATAATCATGCATTTTATATTTTTTCAAGTAATTATTTGGACATAGGCTAGGAAAAATGCATTAATTCTCTTATTAGTCCACTGATACTGATAAAGGAAATTGTTGCAAAAGGAATGATAAAGGACTATTGCTGAACATATGACTAAACTTACACACATTTTCATCAAAGTTAATTTAGGGTTAAAACACCAGCTACTGGTATAAACCTGTCTCACTAATTTCAGCGAACCAAAACACAGGACTTAAATGTTTTACGAAAATTCTAATGAAATATGCCAGACCTCTACCAATATTTTTTAAATGCTATAAAACTAACCAGACTAAACCATCTCTTTACAGCAACAATTGGGAAATCTACTAAATAAGACACTGCGGCAATCTAGATTTTACTTTGGGTTCTTAAGAAGTTTTGGAGTCTTATGAATTACGATAGTTTACCTGACAGATGACATATGACACAGTATCTCCAGCTTTCACCTTTCTGCCTCCTTGAGAATTTATCCAAAGGGCAACATGTACATGAGGTAGGCTTTTTTTATCAGGGTAATCTTGGGGATCCTTTGTCAATGCCTAAAAGAAAAAAAGAAGGAACAAAAAGCCCCAAACCTTAAAATAAAATCTTTCTAATGAATGTACACAAATCAGCAGCATTTCTATATACTAATAAGAGTCAAGCTGAGAGTCAAATCAAGGACTCAATACCATTTATAATAGCTACAAAGAAAATAAAATACCTAGGAATATACTTAACCCAGGAGGTGAAAGATCTCTACAAGGAGAACTACAAAACACTGATGAAAGAAAATACAGATGACACAAATTAATGGAAAAACATCCCATGCTCATGGATTGGTAGAATCAACATTGCCAAGATGTCCATACTGCACAAAGTGATTTACAGATTCAATGCAACTCCCCTCAAAATACCCACATTATACTTCACAGATCTAGAGAACATAATTCTATGCTTTATTTGGAACCAAAAAAGAGCCCAAATAACCAAAGCAATCTTAAGCAAGAAGAACAAATCTGGAGGCATGTTATCTGACTTTAAATTATACTACAAGGCTACAGTAACCTAAATAGTATGGTACTGATATAGAAGTAGAGACATATACCAATGGAACAGAATAGAGCAGCAGTCCCCAATCCCTAGGCTGTGGCCCAGTACTGGTCCAATGCCTGTTAGGAACTGGGCCGTGCATCACCGGCTCAGCTCCCCTGCACCCCCATCCATGGAAAAACTGTCTTACATGAAACTTAGGAACCAGGCTGCACAACAGGAGGTGAACAGCAGGCAAACCAGCAAAGCTTCCTCTATATTTACAGCCATTCCCCATCGCTTGCATCACCGCTTGAGCTCTACTCCCCCCCCAACCCATGGAAAAATTATATTCCATGAACAGGTCCCTGGTGCCAAAAAGGTTGGGGACTGCTGGAATAGAGAACCCAGAAATAAAACCATTTGCCTACTACAACCAACTGATTTTCAACAAAGCAGACAACAACATAATGGAAAAAAGAAGATCTAGTTAATAAATGACACTGGGAAAACTGGATAGCCACATGCAGAAGGATGAAACAGGACCCTATCTCTCACCACATACAAAAATTAATTTGAGATGGATAAAAGACTTAAATGTAAGGCATGAAACCATAAAAATTCTAGAAGAAAATGTAGGAAAAATTCTTCTAGACATAGGCCTAGGCAAAGAATTTATGACTAAGATCCCAAAGGCAAACATGGCAACAAAAGAATAGATAAATGGGACTTAACTAAATTCAAAAGCTTCTGCCAAAGGAAATATTCAATAAACAGACAACCTACAGAATGGGAGAAAATATCTGCAAACTATACATTCAATAAAGGGCTAATATCCAGAATCTACAAAGAATTCAAACAAATCAGCAAGAAAAAACCCCAAACAACCCCATTAAAAAGTAGGCAAAAGACATGAACAGAAGTTTTTCAAAAGAAGATAGACATGGCCAATAAACATGAAAAAATGCTCGACATCACTAATCATTAGGGAAATGCAAATTAAAACCACAATGAGATACCACCTTACCCCTGTCAGAATGCCATTATTAAAAAGTCAAAAAACAATAGATGCTGGCGTGGATGCAGAGAGAAAGGAACACTTATACACTATTGGTGGGACTGCAAATTAGTATAACCTCTATGGAAAACAGTATGGAGATTTCCTCCAAGAAATCAATGTTGACTTACCATTCCATCCAGCAGTCCCACTACTGGATACCTAACCAAAGGAAAAGAGGTTATTTTATCAAAAAGACACCTGCACTTGAATGTTTATCGCAGCACAATTCACAATTGCAAAGATGTGGAATCAACTTAAGTACCCATGAATTCATGAGTGAGTAAAGAAAATGTGGTATATATATATGCCATGGAGTACTGCTCAGCCATAAAAAGTAATGAAATAATGTCTTTTGCAGCAACTTGGATGGAACTGGAGGCCATTATCCTAAGCAAAGTATCTCAGGAATGGAAAAACAAATACCGCAAGTACTCTAATAATTGGGAGCTAAACGATGGGCAAACATGGGCACAAAAAGATGTAAAGGACATTGGAAACCAAGAAGGGAGGAGGGTGGGAAGGGGTGAGGGGTAAAAGCTTACCTATCAGGTAAAATGAACACTATTCTGGTGATGGGCACACTAAAAGCCCCAACTTAAGCATCATACAAGGTATCCATGTAACAAAAACATTTGTACTCCCTTAATATTTTGACATTTAAGAAGTAGATGATCTGATTAAAAACCTCTTCTCACACAGATATACACTAAGTACATCTTTGCTTTAGAATCACACTAGCCACATAAGCATAAAAATGACAGAAGCTGTATGTAGAAAATACTGCCACAGAATCTTTAAACATCCCATCTTCAAGGCTCCTCTCTCCTTCCTTTAGTAACTAATGTAACCAGATGCAACCCTGACAAAAAAGAAATATAAATTTATGGGCTTTGTCACACAATACTTGGATATAAAAAAAATTAAGACTACAAATTCAGTGTGCTATGCAGCCTTAGAGTTTCTCTTAATGTTTGCCATTCTCTCACTGAATTAACTGATTAGTCAGGACTGATGAATAATGGCTACTCTGACTTAATGATCTGTTTCTGAAAGGTTCCTCTAGCCTTAATAAAACCCAAAGGCAACAGAAATCACTGGATTTACTCACTCTGTCATCTTAAGCTTTAGAGAATGAGTTAAGCAGAATGAGTTTGTGACAGAAAGCAAGCCCCATGAGAACAGGAACAATGTCAGCCTTGCTCACAGCTATATTCACAGTTCTCTAAATGATGCTTGGTGTACAGTAGCAGCCAAATATTTCCTGAATAAATTATTTCACCCATTCTATGATAATTTGCAGAATAATATGTTCAAACACAGTAAATATTATGTATGAACAAGATACAGTTACTGGTATCAAGTCTTCTGCTATAAGTAGAAGACTCCTTGCCCCACACCACTTCCCCCCCAAAATTCTAAAATAAATATGTGCCATAAGCGATGTGAACACAGTGCTATGGAGAGTTTAGAGAGGTAAAAGATCACTTTCATCTGAGAACAGAAATCATGGAAGAAAAAAAGTTAAGCTGGTACTTTAGGGAAAAACAAGATTTTAAGAAAAAGTAACAGGGCAAGAATATTCCAGGAACAGAAACAAGCAACAGTTAAAAGCAAGAGTCGAAGAAAAAAATATATAGTCTATTAGACTGAAATTCAATATGCACAAATGGAAAGTACAGGGGTCAAGGGATACCCAGCTCTGGAAGGGGTGGGTTTCAAAAGACAAGGATGGGGACCAGGGTGCTGCTTGCCAAGCTCACCTGTTCTCAAAATATGGTCTATGGAACTGTAGGGGTTCCTGACATCCTTTCAGGGGGTCTTGAGATCAAAACTATTTTCCTAACAGTACTATCTATACTGATGATGCAGAAGCAATGCTGGTACCTTATAAACATGAATCAGGGTAGCAGCACTAAACTGTACTAAGTCACTGCATTCTTCACCACCATGCACAGTTAAAAAAAGAAAACACTTTCACTTAAGAATGTCCTCAATGAATAAAAATTAAAAATTTTTAAGCTTTTAACCCTTGAGTACAATCCTACCATTTTGTGTGATAAAACAGAAAGTACACACAAGGCACATCTGAAGAACGAGTTACTCAAGGAGAAGCATTTGTGCAATTGTTTGAGTTGCAAGCTAAACTAGCTGCCTGTCTCATAGACTGCAACTTTTACTTCAAAGAATGATGGGCAAACTAGTGTTATTCTGAGTTAGGTAGCTGCCAGACAATTTCTCAAAAATCAACAAACCAAAGTGAGCCTGCCACTTCAAGGAAAAAAACCTGAAAGCAAATATTGTCAATGATAAAATTCAAGCTTTCAAGTGCAAACTAGAATTTTGGAAAACTTGTTTCCACCTCCGTGAGCCTGACAGTTTCCCAATACTTAAAGACTTTTCTGATGTAAGTAGGAATATTTTAAAATGTGATTATTGATAGTGTACAATGAAATATGTCAATTTTGGAAGATGTGCATAATTCAGGGAACCAACATTTAACAAATGACCAATCCATACTGTCACATATGGGTAAAATATCCATTCAAAGTACAACACAGACCAACAGATTTTAATGTAAGAGAGTATAAAAAGTTCATTGATATGATTTAAGATCTCATATTACAAATAACTTTTCAGAAAATACAATCTGTAGAGTTTTGGTATAGAATCAAAGAAGAATACATACGACTATCAGAAAAACTACTAAAATATTTACCACTCCTTTTTCCAACTGCATGTTTGTGTGAAACTGGATTTTCTTCCTATACCTCAACCAAAAACCACATTATCACAACAGATTGGATGCAGACGCAAATATGACAATCCAGATGTCACAGACGTTAAAGAGATTTGCAAAATTGTAAAATGATGCCAACCACTTCTCTGGCTAATTTTTCTTTGTTTTGGAATATATACTTATTTTTCATGAAAAGAAATGTTCTTTTCCTATACTTAGTGTAAGAAAGAGACTAGGAAATTCTCCAAGTATTTGAATCTCCTCGAACCTGGATCATGTGAAGTCTTGATTGACTTGGACAGCCAGTACTGTACAGAAATCTTAATCAATATAACTCTACTTAAGAAAACCGTTATCTTCTTCAATTGACTATTCTTCAGTTTCTTCAGTGCAATGTTAAGAAATTCTGAATTTCAGCTGACATACTTTTCAATTATTAGATTGAGGCTATTTGGGGATTTTACAAGCTAGTTTTAGAAGGCTTCATTTAAAAAAAAAAAAGAAAAATGCTTCCTGGTGGTTTAGGCTCAAGTTAGCCAGGGCTATAAAAATCAGCTGTGAAGTATTTTGTGTTACTTTATGAAATATATTTAAGCTAAGATTGCAGTAGTTCAGCAAAATCACACATGCTGTTTTTCAGTTGCTTTTGGCAACAAGGGCTAAAATCTCTATAAAGGTAAATCCCACCACTTCATGCCTGCCTCCACCCCACTCTAACCTGGCATTTTCAGGCTCTACCAGTATCACCCAAAAAAAAAAACAAAAACAAAAAGCTAAAAAACACATCCTGCCATAAAACTATCCACAATCAGTCGCATACATAGACTCTTCCATTCCACTCTTCATTGAAAGCGATAAAATGTAAAAACTGATTTCCTCACAAGTTTTGAATAGTCCAAGTATTCAGACAAATGTTAAACATTATCAGAACTCATCACCTTTGACACATGAATAGCTTACTGTAAATAGACACAGAACTATAATATAGATAGTTCTTTCACCAGAATTTACTGTACTTACACTGCAGAAATTTCTTTATAAAAAATATAAGAATATGAGATAGTAAATACCTTCAATCGACCATTAACATCTTGAAAATATGAACCATATTTTTCTTATTCAACTTTATATCCCAGAATCTAGCACTATGTATATAAGTGGTACTCTGTTTGCTGAATGAATAATTGAACAAGCAAATGAATTTTTTCAATGCTCCCACTGAACTATTATTTGCCAATAACTATGCTAAGTGATACGGAGAATATAAAGATACAAAGTCACAGTTTCAGTTCTGCCACAGAAAAATGTATATGCAGCCTCTATCACACTAGACATTAAATATTAACTATTATTATTAGTAATAATAAAATATCACTGTAAGTTGATAATAATTGAAACTGAGTGATGGATATATGGGGATTCATGATACTATGCTCTCTACTTTTGTATAAGTTTACAAATTTCAATAATAAAAACTTAAAAATAATAAAAATGTAGACTATTCATCAGAACACAGAGATTTCCAACATGTCTATGACTCTAGGCTTCTTCTTACACACTAGTAATATTGTGTCATCATTCATATTGAGAGGATGACAGTGTGGGCCCACTACCCTAGAGGACATATGCTTGGTGTTATTTTCCCAATAATGCAGTCATGATCAGACAGAGCCTTCCAAACTCATCCCTGGAACCCCTTGTGATAGAGAATTACGTTTTTAGGAAGGTGGACAGGATCAGTGATATAATATGCAGAATCGATGCAAAAATTGACCAAAAGAAGACTGAAGTCATAACTCTTATGCAAATTTTTGAGAAAGAAATAAAACAAAATCTAAAAGGAAACTATGTAATACTTTCTAGATGGTACAAGTGATTCTATGCCAATATGTGTACACTGCATCACTTAAAGTGAAGAGCTAGTGACAAGGCATATGTCCCCTTGTAATGCATAAATGAATGTCTTCTTTTGTGACATTAAAAGACATCATGCCTAGTACTCTGGGAGGCTGAGGTGGGAGGATTGCTTGAGCTCAGGAGTTCAAGACCAGCCTGAGCAAGTGTGAGACCCCGTCTCTACCAAACAATGAAAAAATTAGGTGGGCATGGTTGCACATGCCTGTAGTTCCAGCTATTCAAGCAAGGCAGGAGGATCACTTGAGCCCAGGAGTTTGAGGTTGCAGTGAGCTATGATGACACCACTGCACTCTAGCCAGGCAACAGAGTGAGACCCTGTTTCAAAAATAAATAAAAATTTAAAAAATTCAATTAAATTGAAAAAGTAAAAGACATCATAGTCAAAGTGCAGGAAACAAACAACTTACCTAAGAATGAATACAAATTGTAAAGATAAGCATAGAAAATATTTACCCTTCTAGGAATCAAAGAAATGCAAATTAAAGCCAACTGTGAAATATAGTTTCATATCCATTATGGTAGCAAAGTTTTATTTAAATATCACCACCTCGGCCAGGCGCGGTGGCTCACGCCTGTAATCCTAGCTCTCTGGGGGGCCGAGGCGGGCGGATTGTTTGAGCTCAGGAGTTCGAAACCAGCCTGAGCAAGAGCAAGACCCCATTTCTACCAAAAATAGAAAGAAATTAATCGGACAACTAAAAATATATAGAAAAAAAAATTAGCCGGGCATGGTGGTGCATGCCTGTAGTCCCAGCTACTCGGGAGGCTGAGGCAGAAGGATCGCTTGAGCCCAGGAGTTTGAGGTTGCTGTGAGATAGGCCGACGCCATGGCACTCACTCTAGCCTGGGCAAAAGAGTGAGACTCTGTCTCAAAAAAAAAAAAAAATATCACCACCTCAAGCAAAGCAGTAGTGAAACTGGCACACATATTTTGTTATTATCAATTGGTATTACCCTTTTACAAAGCAATTTGGCAAGAGCCATACAGATATTCATATTTTTGACTCAAATATTTTGCTTCAAGGAACCTAAAATAAGAAAATAATTTATCCAAAAGCAAAAAGATAAATGAACAAAGATGTTCAACACACTTATTTACAACAGAAAAAAATAATCAACAAATTTTAAATAAAGATGTATCAGTGAACTAGAAGATTAATACATTGATTAACTTGATTTTTAAGGTAATATAGAAATGTGGGAAAACATTTACACTAAATGAGAATATATTTCTAAATAATATAATTGCTGCAATATGAAAATATTTTTAAGAGTATGGAAATGTGCAAAAATGACAAGCATTACTTTAGCATAGGGGTATTATGAATGAGTTTTCATTCTAACTTCATTTAATATCATCATTAGATTCTTTTTCATTAAAATTTTTTTTGTATGAGCTTTGACAACGAAATCTCTCACAAATGGGTAAAGTGGTATTTGCAAAATTAGCTTCTGAATATGTAAGGGTATTCTTTTTAAATGGAAAAAAAGAGATCTGTAACCTAACATCTTGCTTATAACATAGCACTTTGGAAACCAAAATTTTGTTTTTCAAATTAGGTAAGATAAGAAAAAATATTCTCTAGTTTCAACAACTAAGATTATCCATAAAGTGTAACTTATGTTTTTTTTTTCCAAAAGCAAAAGTGCTTTGAATATACAGAAAGTGTTATCACCATCTTAATTCTAAATAATTTTGTCCCCAGAAGCCTTCTGATTACAGTACAGCTAAGGATCACCATCTGTGAAGTTACACACACACACACACACACACACACACGTACACAAAAGCACACACTAAGCTTACAGGCCCACGCCCCAAACAACTATCACTTAGGAAAATTATGAAGAAGGTAGTATTCTCTAGTCCCCAATACATAAACTGTATCACTCCATAGGACTTCTGGAAACATGACTTCCAAGAATTAAAAGTAAGGACTGAGAGACAAGGTCTTTGTGGCAGACATGGCAGTACCTGTGGCTGGAAGAAGTATGCTAATGTTCAATCTGTGAGACAGTTGTTAAGCAGCTTTCATCACCAGCTAGAATTTATTTCAACTGCAAGGATGAGGTGGTCCTTCAACTATCTGAAGGACGAGAAAAACACATGACAGCAGCTGGGCTCAGCAATAAATGCTACATTTACCTTGTTAATTTCAAATTGGCTCACTGGGACACTGCCATTTAGCACATTTTCTCCAATTTCCATTAATCTCTTCTGAATGTTTTCTACTATAGTGTCCCGGTTTTGATCAGAAAGAATCTGGCCAATGACGAAGCTGAAAAAGAGAGATTGATTTTTTAATATCCTATTTTATTAAATAGAGAAAAGGAACATAAATGCCATTAGATTAACATAGGGACAAGAGCTAATATAAGGGTTACTGCCCAAAAGGCAGTTACTATTTGTTTTTTTTAACACTAACTGTACCAAAGGTTTATCAACCTTAGAATGTCAGGTTGCCTTTAAACATACAGGTCCTTCTTTTACGTGGCAGCTAATGCTTTACACAAAATGCGATGGAGAAAAGTATGTATTCCATCATATTTTTATGCAATTACAAAATTCACGAGCAATTATATTCTATCCATAAGTTTTAGAAGACAAGTATTTCACTTTCTTCATAAAGCGCCAAGATATTATCTCTGATATCATCAAGATATCATCTCCACCTGAGGTAACCATTAGCTAGGTGAATAGAAATACAAAGCTTTTACAGACTTTTTTTTTTAAAAAACAAAGATTTCAAATTTTTCTTTCTTCGGCTTCATTATATTGTTCAGTGTTCTCCAACCTTATGCTATTCCTTAAACACTTCATGTTATTCAACCATACCCAAAAGAAAAAGGAGTAAGGAAGCCAATATTTTATCCATTTCTGAGAAAATGCAGAGCGAGGGTTTGACAGCTGCATTATAATTTGTCAGAAAAAGAACCCTGACAAAAACATTTGTATAGCTTTAATTACTAATACATTTCTAACTCAGAGAAATTTACTTCTATTATGATGCATCTTTTCTTAGAAAACACAAAGCTGAAGAGAACACTCTAATCGACGGTCTATACAAAGTAGTTTCATCTTTGGGTACATTTAGGGGCAATGAAGCATTTCAAACTACATTTCATAAAAGGCTAACAGTGACCTATACTCAGATGATCAACTTTGCCTAATCAAGAGTAGTTTTGCAGAAGCAACAATTGCTCAATCTCTCAATTTGAAAGCAGGAGGAAGATTGGAAAACAAGTAAAAAAAATGCTGATATTCAGCAATATTAAAATTAATTTTAAATTTAGCTTTAAGGCCGGGCGCGGTGGCTAATACTTTCTAGATGGTACAAGTGATTCTATGCC